CCTGTCGTTTAACTCTAAGACTGTTTCTGAAACTGCTGATAAAGGTGTATATTTACAAACTTGCACTGTTTACGCTTCAGATACAGATAATACTAGAAGCCAAATAGTAAAAATCTTAATTGATGGTGGATCACAGAATTCATTTATTAGATCTGATTTGGCTAAAGAACTAAAATTAAGGACTTTAAGGAAACAAAGGTTATATATTTATTCATTTGGGTATAGCCAAGGTAGACTAATAGAATATAATGTTGTTCAAATTACCTTGAAAAGTATGCATTTCCCTAATGACTCAATCACTATTGAAGCTCTTGTTACAGATACAATTTCTGAAGCGATCATAAAAATTCTCTCCAAAAACATTTTAGAAATATTAAAATCAGAAAATCTAAAATTAGCCAATAATGGTGAAGCAGCTGAAATAAAAATATTGTTAGGATCTGATTCATGTTGGGAAGTGCAAACAGTCGAAAAGAAAAGAGTAACTAATAAATTATTTGTGGTGTCTTCTATATTTGGTTGGTCCTTAATTCCTTAATTGGATCTTTAGAAGGTGATCATTCTAGTGCCTGTATTTTTACAACTGGTGCTTCTCATTGCTTGAAGGAAGATAATAATTCAGTTAATGACTGTTTGCGAAGGTTTTGGACTCTGGACCATTTGTGTTTAGAGGAGAACGAGAATCCTGACAATAAATCAGTCATTGAGAAATTTGAAAAAGAATTGCATTTTACTAATAGTAGATATGTAGCTCATTTGTTATGGAAATCACATCATGCAAACTTGGGTAATAATTTAGAAAATGCCGAGCGACGTCTAGTATCGTTGGTTAATAAACTAAAAAATGATGAATGGCTTAGGGCGAATTATAATAGCATAATAAACGAACAGTTAAAAAATGAAATAATTGAAGAGTGCGAAATTGAAAGTTGTGATAGTAGTAAAATGTATTACATGCCACATTCTCCAGTTGTAAGAAAAAATGTATCAAAAACTAAAGTCCATATCATGTTTGACGCATCTTCGAAGTGTAATGGGGCATCTCTAAACAATTGTTTGATGCCTGGCCAAAATTTGAATACTTCTGTTTTGGACTTGATATTGCGGTTCAGACAATACAAACATGCGTTCTCAGCAGACATTGAAAAGGCCTTTCTCCAGATTGGAATCTCTGAAATTGATAGAGATGTATTACGGTTTTTATACTTTGATAATAATTACAATTTGAAACATTATAGAATGACTTGCGTTCCTTTCGGTGTGTCATGTAGCCCTTTCATTCTGGCGTGCACTATAAAAAAACATATAAAGAAAATAGAGTTAGAAAATCCAGATATTTTTGGGATGTTGAACTGTTCGATCTACGTAGAGGATGTTTTCTATGGTGCAGATTCTGTGGAACAGGCTTTTAAGTTAAGTATTGGAGCTTATTGCGTGCTTAAAGATGCCGGAATGAATTTGCGTCAGTTTAATACAAATTCCGAGAAACTAAAGAAACTTTGGGATGATTATGGAATAATTAAATCAGAAAATGAACTAAATAGTTCTTAAAAAGTATTAGGGCTTAACTGGTGTACGTGTAAAGATGTAATTTCCTTGAACATAGACAACTTGTGCGAAACATAAAATAGTTGTAGAAAAACCACAAAAAGAAATATATTAAAGGTGACTGCTACTATTTTCGATCCAGTAGGTTTCTTGGCGCCATTTGTATTACGTGCAAAATTGATAATGCAAAACCTTTGGCAGTTGGATTTAGAATTTGGCGACGAAGTTCCAACTGAATGTAAGCACTTGTGGTCCGAGTGGAGCGGTGAAATTGAAAAGTTAAAGAAATTTGAAATTTCTCGAGAATATCTCCCCGGCAAATTGAATCAAAATAAGGATATTGAACTTCATTTATTTTGTGATGCATCTATTAAAGCGTATGGTTCAGTTGCATATTTTAGATCAGTTGAAGAAGGACAGGTAGCATTCATTATGGCAAAATCTAGAATTGCGCCAATAAAACAAAAACTCACACTTCCAAGGTTAGAGTTGCTAGGAGCATTGACATCGGCAAGACTTGCTAAACACTTAAAAGAGCTGTTTTCAATTCATGAAGAAAATATTTATCTGTGGACTGACAGTATGATAGTGGTTCACTGAATTCATAGTGCTCCTGAACGATGGCAAATGTTTGTAAAAAATCAAGTATCTGAAATACAATCATTAACTTGCCCAAATAACTGGAGACATTGTTATGGGAAGACCAATCCAGCGGACATTTTATCTCGAGGATGTTCAGCCGAATATTTGTTGTCTTCAAGATTATGGCAGTCTGGGCCAGACTGGTTAGTTGAATCAGTGAGTGCTTGGCCTAGTAAATTTATCGTGACAACGGAGTTTTCTGATGCTGAATTACAGCGGAAAAGGTGTATAAATAATACCACAATACTGCAGTCTATTGCAGAAAAATCTAATTCTCTGTTGAATCTTAAAAATTATAGTAAATTAATTAGAGCTATTAGAGTGACTGCATGGATATTTAGATTTATTCACAATCTGAAAAATAAAACTGACAAGAAAACCGGACCCTTGATAGCAGAACTTTTTGCCGCAGAATTATATTGATCAAAAAAGTTCAAGTTAAATATGAACATTTTTCTGATGAAATAATTAGTTTAAATTCTGGACAGTTGATTTCAAAACACTCAAACATTTATGAACTAAATCCTTTTCTAAGTGAGGAAAGAGATTTGTTAGCAGGAGGAAGACTACAAAAATCAACTTTAAGTTTTCATGAAAAGCATCCTATAGTTATTCCTTCAAAAACTCATTTTACAGATCTTCTAGTACGTGATGCACATGAACGAGTTCTTCATACAGGTGTAGCTAGTAAAATTAAATGTACCTCCATGAAAAGTACTAGATAATTAGATCCAGACAAAATGTGAAACGTGTTATAAGAAACTGTGTACTGTGTCAGCATTATAATTCCTGACCGATGCCACAAGTCATAGCACCATTATCTCCGTCTAGAGTACTAAGAGTATTAATATTGTATGATAGTATATTTTTTATTGAAAGTGTAATCGTAATGCTACTAATGTTGTGCCTATTTTCATTTAATTGCTATTTAAAGTACTGTATATTTAATATTTAAAGAAATGTATATATTAGACAATTTTAAGGTTGTAGAAATGTATAAGTGTGTTTAAAATTTTAATTTAATTCTGAAAAAAAAGACAGGTTTCTTGTAATAATTCTAGTATTTTAGTTGAATTATGATAATCTTGATTTTGAAATCCTTTGTTTAATGTTATCTTAAGTTATATAAATTCTTGATTTAAATCGTGATGCTTGAACAGGAATGTTATGACAATAATTCTTGATGAATACTTGAAAATTTACTTAATATTCTTGAAACATATGGTATGTTTTACATGTTCTTGATATTTATGTCACATTTCTTGATTACAAAAACTTGAATTTGTATTGAAATGCATAATGATTCTAGAAAATAATTCTTGAAAATGTTCATGTCACTGAGAATCTTGATGGTTCTGAGCTACAGTTCAGCCAGGCCCAGTGTGTAAGAAATTTTATGTGGAAATATATTTTAATCGCCAAAGAGGGCGTAAATCTTTCATGATGTATATATACTTCTTGTTCTTGGATCTGGCACTGCCAGTTGAATGTGTGTTAGACGTGAATAAACTTGGCAGTTTAGAAATCTGATTCGTAATGTTCATTTACTTTGATGTTATGTGTGAATTGAATTAGTGTTTTTTGAACCAGGATAACTTGAAATTTTTGACAGTTAATGTAATATTTTATACCCTGAGTGGGCTAAGGGTACCACGATATCCATACCCATACTCATCACAAAGAGTGAAAGGAGCAGATATATATTCGAAAGCTAAAAAGTGAAAGGGTCATTTTGGAATTATAATAAAGAAAATGCTACTTATTATGACATTTTGGGGAAACTTTAAAATTTCAGGCCCAAAACGGTCAGGGCTCAGAGTGGTATTCATGCCATGCTTTGACCATATTTTCAATAACACATCTGATGTAGAGCTTTTCGAAAACTCTGTTAAAGTAGGTGCATTTTTTTTTCCTGTTATAGCTTCTATAATTCAAGAAAAGGGCACCACAAATAATACGCTTCAAAAGTAATGACACTCTGAACCACTTCAATTTTATTTATTCCTTTTGCTCTCATTAATATTAATTAATAGTTTTGAATGGGTTCTGCAATTTAATCATCTTAAATGAATTTTGTTGCAGAATTGTATATCAAAAGCAGAAATACATAATTCAACATTAAAGTTCACAAATGTGCACTGCTTACTTGTGCTATGCAGATTACACATTACAGACAGAAGATGTGATTGCAATGATCGCAAAAGTGGTGTCTTTTGCATGCTTCATGGTTAAGACAAAGAGCTCTGCGAGCTATTAAATGCTGTTGCCAACCGAGATAAAAGTAAATGTGAAGCAAAGCCTCATCAGTAATCTCCCCACCTCCTAAAGTAATGGCTATCAAAGTCCATACATATATAATGGAAATATCAAAATAAAAAATTAAACATGTATCACATCACATAACTTTAAAAGTGCATAAAATCAAACTGCACAAAAAGAAACTTAAGCATATAAAGGGGGAAAAAATAATTTTTGTATTAAAAATAAATTTAACTAAATTTTTAGCATTTACTTTTATTTTGCTCGGTTAAAATTTAGTTACATAAGAACTTTTCAAACCATACTACAGTGATTCAGGACTGATTGAAGACGGACTATGCAAAGTATCATTAAATAATGAAAAGAAGACTAATTTAGATTAAAATTTAATACTACCCTCCAAGATACAGATTTGCATTATATTTATAAAAATGGATTAGGTTTTTTAACATATAAAACAAAAAACATGCTAAATCAGGACAAAATATAAGCAGACTTCTAGAAAAAAATATTCTTTTAATTTTAAAACAGTCAGTAAAAAATTAACTTACTTGAAACATTTTACCATACAATCTGTGGAAAAAATCATCCATTGCATCTTCCAGATCAACACCACCAGTAATATAATATTTTTCTAAATCATCAAACATTGAGCTAAATAAATACGAATTCTGCTCATACAGTTGGCCGTAAGTCCTTACAAACATGTCATGGAAACCTTTTCTTGATACCTTCAGAAGTTCTCGGAAAAATTCTACATAAATTGAAAACATTGTTATTAATGTTTAAACTTTAAAATGATTGTAGTTAAAAAAAGTATATAGTAAAAGTTTCCATGAACTCTAAAAATATGTCTAAAATTACTGAAGTTCTGAAAGAAAATTTTACGTATTCTCAATTTTTGCAAAATTAATTTAAGAAGAAAATTTTACGTTTTCAGTTTCTGAAAAATTAATTTAAGAAAAAATTTTACATATTCTCAATTTTTGCAAAATTAATTTAAGAAGAAAATTTTACATGTTTTCAGTTTCTGAAAAATTAATTTAAGAAGAAAATTCAGCACTATACTTAGCCTAATTCAGCATTAAGTCAATATTTATTCAGAGCTAAATTTCATAAATTGTACACCATTGCAGTTATAAATAATTCAGATTATCACAGGATTTTTTTTTTTTCAGCCTGCACAAGACTTGCTTAGTTTTTCTTAAATTTTAATTTTTTAAATATTTTTACTTTTCCCTCTCCCTTTATTTTTTTTCCTTTATCTCTCCCCCAATATACATTGCTCATCAAAATTAAAGCATAATGAGAAAAATAAAAAGCAAATGAAATTTAATGAAAAATTATTAATAAAATTTGTACAAAAGCATTAATTAAAATAAATTACAATGTTTGGCAGTTGCTTATTCACAAAATATTGAAATTAAAACGAATTTATGGAGACTGGAAAATGATGGAAAAATTAAGTCTCTTGTAGAAAAATTTTTTCTTTAATATGGTGTATGTTCACCTTGGACAGATATGCATACCTCACATCTTGACTTCACCAAAGTGTTAATCAAATCTTGTGGAATTGTACGCCACTCTTCTAAAAGTGCAGAGTACTGGAGGGTCGTGGGAGGAATTTGGGATTCTGAAATTCAGCACCTTAAAGACATCCCACACATGCTTAATTGGGTTCGAGTTAGTAAGGTGGCCAAATCATTAGAGTGGCCTCTTGTTTCCAAGTATCTGCTTTTAACAAAAGTTTTCTGCCATAAAACATTCTTAATAAAGTTAGGGAGGAAACATGAAAAGCAGTACCTTTAGTGCGATTTTCCCAGATACTCTTTGTGGATATACCACAGTAATCTCACCAGATACAAAGCATGACCTTTTTGTAAGTCAAACTGCGCTTCGTGACGTTGCCGATGGGCTTACTGTGTTGTTGAAGTAAATCCACTTTCATCACAAGTGACGATTTGTTCCGAAATTCTGCCATTGTGTCGATATTCAAGCAAATCAGTGTAGGCCCGAACATGTCCATCCTTCTCTGCTTGAGTCAGCTCCTGCGACATGCAGCGACTGAACCTATACGTCAAGTTTATGCGAAGTTTAGCACGACTAATGGACACAGCACTAAGGTTTAACTCCTCAGCAAGCTCTCGAGTGGCTGTATACTATCTTCTTCCACAAGTTCTCGCAGTTGGGCTTCGACAAGATCAGTAGGCCACCAGAGCACTCTGTTTTCTGAATGTCATAGTCCTTGTTTTTGAACTTTTGGTTCCAAACCTTCATAGTGTCAAATGATACAACATTAGTACCTAAAGCTGTACACATGATTTGGTGACATTCTGCAGCTGACTTTTTACAAGAGAACTGGAAGTAAATCACAGTTCTGGTAGCATAGTTCCATTTCAGACACAGTGTTCTAAAGCAATTGTCTTTTTTTTTTTTTCTAAATGTCAAAAATTGTTTGACAAGATATGGTTAAAGACAATACAAACTGTTTGTGCAGATGATATTTATGGTGGTGGGAAACTTTCATTAAAACCTGATATTCTGACACTACATATGTTCAATGAGGCTGAACATATCATCCATCAGCAAAAACTCTGGGCCAACAACACCCCTAAACAGTCCAACTTGGGGTTCTACCTTATCCACATATACTTGAGCAGTTAAAGAGTCTCTTGAAAGATAGGCAGCTCAGTGCGGCTATTTGTACGTTTCCTCTCCAAACCATTAACACTAGAATAGCTGAATTTCAGACTAACCGAAATCCGTTATTGGGGATCGATTTGACCCTCATAAGAAATGTAAGTGGAAACACAGTAAATGAGTGAAATGATGCTGAAATGACCACATAAAAGTTTTTTATTTATTTTTTATACTTTAGAATTTTTTTCGTGCAATTAGTGTAAATTAGCACACAATATCTTTCAATGTAAGATTACAAAAACAAAATCTATGAAAAACAAACAAAAGATACAAATGCAAAAAGTGGAAAATAGAACATATGCAAAAGGGAATAAACACACGTTTTCCAAAGTTTGTTATACATTACCGCAGGTGATACAATATGAACGCTTGAAAGTGACAGCAACACATTTACCACAAATTGGTTTCTGGCATCCCTCACAGCTGACAACAGTCTTGTTTTGTCCCTTGCAACTTTGAAATGCGCATTTTTTTCGTTTAAGTGTCTGTATTTGAGCAATTGGGGGGCATCTGTTGCGTAGTGCACCAACTCGTAGTTCTTCCACGAGTGCAAGAATAAATTCTCCACAGGAAATAGAGGTGCCCAAGGATTCTTTGAATATAATCCAAGCATTGAGTGCAGCAATGTCAAGGACGTTGTAAAAAACATGTACAGGCCATCTGCGACTTCCACTACTTGTACTATATTTTCTCAGCATCTGATCTGCAACATCAACGCCACATTTTGTACTGTTGTAGTAAGTGACAGTGTTCGGTTTTTTCTTTATGCTGTCGTCAACAAACACATTACTGTGCATCGTGCTCAGAATCCCGACATTCTTTTTGCTCTTGCACCTATATATTGTGAGTGTTTTGTCTTCCATTTTTTCAGTGCAAAAGATTGATATATCGTGCCGAAAGAAGTGTCACAAGCAATAGGGGGCAATTTCTCGCTTATTCAGACGCATCGTCCCGACAATTGTGGTTTTTTCTTTTTTTTTTGCAGAAAGTTCATCTGCAAGTTTCACAGAAGTAAAAAAAATGTCAGTTGTGACATTGAGTCCGGAGTTTAGATGTGGTTGCAGTAATTCTGAGAACTACACTTTCCCCAAGTTGTAAATTAAGTTGGTCGTTCTTCGTCCTTGCCCAGATAAGGATAACCATTCAAAACATATTTGGATTTTACATCAGTTGCTAGCCAGGAATTTGATGCCAAACGCCAAACTTGTCCAGTTTAATTCGCCATGTACTGGATAAATCTACATCTTGATTTACAAGGCAACAATTGTTCATCAACAGTTATTTCTGGTCAGGATTACAGCATAAATAACAGTTTTCCATTAGCTTGTACCAGGTTTCAGAAGCGAGAGCAAGTTTGTTAGTGGCGAGACGATCAGCTCTGGTGCTTTGGACATCGAATCTGAGATACCGCATTACAAGAACTCCAATTCTTGTTCCACAAATCATCTTGTGCTCCATGGGCATGCAGGAGGGTAAAAAAGGCATCGAGTTCTTCCAGAATAACATGCCAGTTACAATCATCTCTAAGTTGTCGTTGTCCCTCAGCAACTGTACATGATTGAATGTGTTTCACCATTGATTCACTCACCATCAAATGCCACGCTGAAGCAGGATTTGTTCCTATATTACCACGAGCAAACGACGTTGGTCCACTTGCAGTGGTTACAATATTTCGGGCTGGCGTGCGACCTGAAGTGGAAGCAGTGCTGCTAAGGTTCATAGGGGTCCAGAGAATAGTGCTAGATGAGGTATACTTCTCATTACTGCTGCCAGCAACGTTGTTACCTCGTCCTTGACCATGACCACGTCCGCGTCCACGTGAGCTTCCGGCTTCCTGCATAGGGATCACATTTCCAGAATTGTCCTCGACATCACTATCACTGCTTTCAGAGAGCGACGCATTCTGTAAGTTCACATCAACGTTAAAATTCTTCATCACTACTATCATCACCACTTATATCTGATTCCAACTTGTTCAAAGAGGGCAAGGAACTCTTGTGTACTCAATCCTCTTCCTCTCGGCATTGCAATGGAGAAGAGAATATGCTCCGTTCTGGATTTTATATTTCTCCCCTGAGTAATCACGATAATGAGCTACGTGTTTCTAAACGCGCAGAAAACGAAAACGTGGCATCGGGAATTCGAAAACGGACATTCGCTTAAAAAATATGTCGTTTTTCTTATGAGGGTCAAAATGACCCAAGTTGGCTGTTTTAGGTATACCTGCGATTATTTAATTAATTAATTAACATAGAAATATGAAAAATTGGCATAGTATACTTGGAAACATTTTAGAAAAAGTAAAAAAATATCAGCTTCGAAGCTCAGCTGTATGTTAAAAAAAATGCGGAAAATTAGAAAAAAAAAGGTCAAAATGACCCCAACGGCGCTTTCAGTGTTAAACCATGGTCACAGAAACGGTATAGTTTACGGTTAAGAGAAGGGAATTTGCGTGTTCCTTCCATCTCCAGATCAAAACCTGTCTACAGTCACTGTTCAGACTATATCTAGACTCGCAGGAAACAATACTTGGGCCCAGTCATCTTGGCTCCGTTGAACATGACAGCACCAGTTTACACGGCACCTCTGGTAGCTGGAGTTAGTGGGACTCTGATTACTTTCTGGACTCAGATTAAGTGATTAGCTTTAACGTTTCGATGATAAATCTGAAATTGCATTTTATTATTTATTTACTCATTAACTTTGGTATGTGCATGTGAAAATGAAACATATCATTGTGGAGTTTCTCACGTGCTATTTTCAAGGTAATATGGCTGAGATTAAATATAATTATGTTTCATTATTAAAACTATTAACTTTTTTAATTAAAAAACACTTAAATTTTATTTTCTTTCTTTTCTAGTTTTTCCTTTAGTTCCTTTTTAGTTTAGAAATATTAAAAGAGTTTAGCATAATGATAACTTGGCTAAGAGGCATTTTATTCCTTACTTTAGACTGAGCTTATTATCAAATTTTAAACACATTTCTCATTGAAAGCTTTCTTGGCTGTAACAATTATATTTTGGCGATTTTTTTAGAGATATTTTCTTTTAC